TATTGCGTGGTGTGGCCAGAATCCATGTTTTGTTGGTTAATGATACCAAAAAATCGAATGACGGTAAAGCGTCAGCCTGTCCGTCCTTTTCTGTGAACTAGGCAAGCGGCTAAACCGTTCAGCCGTTGCTTTTTTTCTCCAAAATTGATATTCTCGAATCGCACCGGTTGATGTCGCGGCCCTTTCAATGTGAAACCTTGAAATTATTTTAATTTTCATTTAATTTACTTTACATGAAGCTTATGGGAAAATTTAAAAAAAAATGGTTCAAACGTTTTTGATTAAATTTTGTTGTTGGATAGTGTGAAGGACGTTTAAGAGAATGGTGCAGGTCTCATTTTCGGTGTAAAATCTGATTTTTCGAAAGTTGCAAAAATTCAATTTTTTTCGATGTCTTTCTACATCTACAACTATTATGAAGATATATAGTATTTCCCTTAATGACATCAGTTCCTTAAATACTAGTTTTTAAATTAAAGTCATATACACTTTTTTTGAAAATATAGTACTTTTCGCGTTATTTTGCATGAAAGTACGGGCCAAAAAGTACGTGCTGTTTTAGCACCACTACTTGATTGATTGTTGAGTGTTTTCGGGCGCGACAACCGCTATGGTCATTAGCCCCGTTAATACAGCGAAAGTTTTATCGCAGGAGGTGGTGGTGATCTTCGGTAAGTGTCTGAAAGTAAGTAGGGCTGAAGATGAGACAAGGAATAGAAAGGAAAGATCGCGCGCGGTTCGTTTGTTACAGTACTGTTCCGGCATTCGTTTGGAGTTAATCGAAGAAAACACGGAAAATTACCTATCAGAGCAGCCGGCCGCCAGAATTCTCCCGTCAGTGATTGAATTCGACCTAGTCTTGTAGTTAGATGTCGGAAATCCTGTCACGGCCGGGGCTCGAACCCTAGACCCTCCCAGTCAGAGGCACTGCAATGACATCAATTGATGCCCGAAGCCGATCAGCGAAGGAGACCCGTCGAAGTTTGGGGGCCCAACGTCCGTGACCCTTCAATAATTAAATTTCATTTATTTTGCCGAAGAACAGTAAACAAGTGTGACGTATGGAGAGAAATACTATCTGCATACGTTATCTTGAGAATATCTTCCCCATCTTTTGACCATAAATAGTTGAATGATGAATAATGCTTCCAACAAACAAAATTAGCATTTGCAAAGCAAGGTTAGTATATAAAACTTTTCTCTCCCGAGTTATTTGAATATTTCTGTTGTAATAAATAATTATAAACGTTGTCATTGCCAACAATAGTATTTATTGCAAGAGCAGCTTTCGATGGGTTAGCCATCATCATCAGTTGTCTGGTACAAGAAGAAAAAACAAAACATTAAAACATGATGATGGCTAAGCCATCGAAAGCTGCTCTTGCAATAAATACTATTGTTGGCAATGACAACGTTTATAATTATTTCATGAAAAATGCTAACGATAACGCACCACGACACCTATATTTCTGTTGTAACTTTTTCTACACTTCTTTTCAAGCGATGTAACAGCTCGGTACAGCTAATATTTATGTAAATGTCAACGTACAACACATTGTCCATACTCTACTTGCAAGGAACCCGGAAGCGTTTCACTTCGACCTCGCGAACAGGTGAGCTCGCCTCTGGCGCGCGAGATAGCTATCGGGTCGACGAGGTCTGTTTGCGGAGACTCCGAAGCGTCTGATAACGATACGAGGTCGCAGGTGGCTCCAAACAACCATTGCGCACACGCCTCCAGATGTCCCCCGAATTCGGCCGCCTCCCATACAGCACCTCAGTGGAGTCAACACGAAATAGAAGCGGCCGGGAACACGCGTGCATGATGGGTAGCTGTACGGACGGACGTGGGTTCGTGAAAACAAGTTAGCCTTGTTTCCAAAGCTCACTGCCTCCAAAATCGAGACTATTTCTACAAAGAGCGGATTCATAAGCATCAATTAGGAAATTGTTCTGTCACTAAAAACTGTCGTTAAAAACTCTGAGGCCAAATTCAATTAACAAGATTCATATGTTTGATGTTTGATATTATTTATGTATTACAAAATAATACATAACAGCATCTTTTCTGCGTTGTGAATGGTAAAGGACGATAGTCGGTCAGGCAAATAGCCAGAAGAATGTGGGTGAGTTCGTATCCCGCGTAAGTCATAGATATTTTCGTCGGCGGGAGACGCTTCATATCAGCACGTAACACATTTGAACTTTCATATTATTTATCATCACCCAGAGCGCTAAATGAAGGTTCTATGTTACAGATGGATGGACCGAGACGGGTAGATTAGAATAGGACGGGCACCTTTTGTTCCCGGGAATAAACTGGTAGATAGCAGGGAACTGGTCAAATCATATGGTTGAAAAAGAGGCCCTGAAATTGAACTAAAATCAACCACTACTAACTTCTTGAAAATCTCGCTGAAAATAATAAATTTTCGTAACAGAAATAAACATGTAATAAATTTGCATATCTTTATTCACTTAAATCAGTAAGGAATTGTAAGGAAGTATTTGTAAAATGTATTTGTAGTTTAATTTAAGAATTGATTCAAAGGGATAAAGAATCAGTTATCGCAGAAAGAAAACGAAAAGATAAAAAGCTTATAACAAAAAATGTACATTTATTCAGGTGGATGATATTTCTAGTTATTTAAAAGGAAAATCTAAGGAATATGACAGAAGTATAACAAGATATGGGTTAGGAAATGAAACCAGAGCGAATAAAAATAAGTTAATAAGGAAAAAATAGAGGCTCTGTGAGATGGAGGAGGAAGACTGGTAACATATTACACAGGTATGTCGTGTTTCTAAGAAAGGAAAACATGGGAAAGGCTGAATGTACAGAATAATGTGAGGTGGATATTAGAGGACAAAGATGAAACGATAAGCATGGTAGAAAAACCGCAAAGTACACAAACGAATCAAACTATCGTTACAAAGTTGTAAAATAAATATTCACTGAATATTCACTTTTCACGACCAGATAAAAGTTACTTTGTCAAAACACTAAGTGAAGCTTTACACGAAAAACAATATAAAGATTTATTACAACTTATTTTATTTCTTCGAATATGATACGAAATTGGGTTTCCAGCTTTTTTGAGGTGGTTAATTTTAGAAAGGAAACTCACCAAAGCAGCGAAGATCAACGATGAATTATTCTATTTTCTTTTTACATTCTCACATTTCAGTAATAGTAGTTTTTCCTCATTAGACAAGATTCCGAATTATTCAATGTAATACTGTAGAATCCACAATAGCAAGGATCACGATTAAAATTCACATTAGACAGATTTCCGAAGTTATACATGTTCCGCTTTGAGCACGTTTTACTGTAGTTGACGCGTTGGGAAAAAAGAAATACCCATTTACTTAACGGGCGCCGTGTTACGTAAGTAAGGATTTTTCTTCTCCTGTTTGTAAAGCGATAAGTTGCTTTAAGAATATAATATTACGAAAAGATATTAATGTGACTTTGGCAGTTCGATCTAGACTCACTAATACTTTAAGTTTTGCGGGAATCTTTCGAGATCATGTTTTTACCAGGAAGGCGACAACAGCCTTTCAGAGTAGAAGAAACTATGCCCCACTGGATTAATGCTGCAAAAACATTAAAATACTGCAAACCTTCCAAAACCAATTCCTGAGGATAATAACCAACGCACCTTGATTTTGTCACTAACGACCAACTCCACCAAGAATTATCCATGGAACCCATAGCCAATCATATCAATTACCTTGCCTCCAACTTCTATTTCTCCATACAACAAATTCCACATTAAATGCATTCAACCTCATCCAAAATCCTACACAACCAATCCAAATCCAAAACAAATTTTCTTTCCACGTATTCCTAAATAAATTCGCAGAAATTAAGCATTAACAGAGGTGTCTAATTAGGGTTCCTCGCCCATGTAACAGATTAAGCTTAGTTTGTAAGTTAATTATAAGCAAAAAAAGCATGTAAATAGTATAACGTTTTACTTATCCATGTACTAATCAACAAGAGAATAAACAGAAAAAACAGAAGAGACGAAACACTGAACAAGGAAATATTTGAGAATCTATGACCCGTGGATTAAGCAACTGCTCTGGCATCAGCCTGCAATTTACGAGAGGAAATACGCGATCTGAGCAAACAGCCTCTTTTCATGCTCTTCGTGAACAAGCGAAGGGATGTGGCGGAAATCAAAAGACACATGTTCAAATTATCAAGGATTTAGAGTTTGAGAGGTTTCTAAAACATCTAGTTAACAAACGGAATTCGAGTTATAGAATTCGTTCTTGAAATATTTAAGATAAAGTTACATGCAATATAGGCCTAAGACACCCTTAGTGAGAAAGCGATTGGAGATCTTAAATAATTCGAGAATCCAATTATTGATAAATTTAGAATTATACGCATAGGGAAAGACGAAATTTGAATTATAAAGGATTTTTTTGCTCGCGTTTAGGCCGAATTGAATCATGCGTGCATGCACCCAACATTTACCGGGATTCAGTACCATTATCTCGGTGTCAAGAGCATGAAATTTTATCATGTGATCAGCATTTAGCCGAATCCGATTTTTATTCCCCAGGGTTGTTAGCCCTGGGAATATGGAAGATAACATGATTATGATAGTGAGGGGTGAATGGACAAACCTCACATACAGATGTATGCAAACACAGACATGCCCGAAGCAAGATTCGAACTCTTGATCGTCTGGTCCTTGACTGCTACGCTACTACTACCCTCTGATCAGCATAAAGAAATTTGTTTTATAAATTAATTCGAGTTGTAAAGTTTATAAATAGTAATATTTAGGAATTCGAGTTATAAAAACATTAGATTTTTTTATTTTATTTTCTATTATTTTATTATTTATTATTTATTATTTATTATTTATTATTTATTATTTATTATTTATTATTTATTATTTATTATTTATTATTTATTATTTATTATTTATTATTTATTATTTATTATTTATTATTTTTATTTTTAATCTTTTTGCTAAAAGTGCGTAAGTGCGTGTGTGGTTGTGCGCAGTGCCTGCAGTACTGCGTGTACGAGAAGCTGGGCGGCATGAAGGACGGCACGGTGGTGAGCAAGGAGGAGGCGCTGGCCGTGCTGCACCGCATCTACGACGGCGACTTCGAGACGCTGCAGAACGCCTCCGACAAGATCGACCGCTGCGAGGAGGAGGGTGAGTCACAACGCCTTGTACGCAACAATAATTGAATCTAATTAATGCCTTATTTTACGAGGCGAGACTCGGTCCATGAGGCCCGCTCTTCCGTCTGACCACGCAAATTTCGCTACGCTCCTTTCATCAACTAGCAGAGAAAGGAGGTATTCGATCGGGTTGGGACCCGCCAACTTGGGTGTACCAGTCCGATACGCTAACAGTTACACCATCGCCGCGCACAATAATGCCACCAGAAGTGAAATAAAATCACCGCCGGTACTAAAATTACTAAATAAATCTTCGCCTAAAGTAATGGCTTCACGAAAAAAAAAGAACAGTTGCAGTATACCAGATTCAGGATACTGTTACAGGGAACTTCCCTTGTTACAGTATCATGAATCTGGTATACTGCTACTTTTTTTTTCTTTTCTTTTTTTTTTCTTTTCGTGTTCACCATATGTAAAATCATTCCCAAAAGTAATGTCTACATTAGTCACTACCGTAAAATAATAGAATTAAAAAACCATCATCACCACCATTAGTAAAATCATAATTCATCATCATAAGTAATATATTAATAAAATCATCGCCGAAAATAACATCTACAAAAATCATCACCAAACATAATATCCTTACTATTAGTAAAATTATCACGGTAAGTAATAACATAATTAGTAAAATCATTCCCTCGCTATCAGTAAAATGATCTCCATATGAACATGATCACCATAAATAAAATTATCGTATTACGCAAGCTCGTCGACATAAAAATGTCAGACAACCTGAATAACTTTAAAGATAAAATAGAGCTCTTTCGAAATCAATATCATGGTAAAAAAAGTCTTCCTCCTCTTCCCCTTCTCTTTAAGTTTTTTGCCAGTTTGCCTTCGGTTATAATTACATCCCCGAACGGCTAGTATTTCTCCGATCTTGTGTGTGGCACAGAAAAATTCTCTTCGGCAGGCGATTCATCTTCTATATTCTTCCAGTGTGCTGTTCCCACGAATTTTTGTAGTCATTGTCGATGTGATCGCAAGTTTTCAACTAGTTCAAATTTTTTGTTCGATTCCGTCCTAAACCTCCAATAATAAACCATAGATTTGTTTCTCAAGTAATTTAACTCTCAATTAAATCGCGATGTACAGAACACGACCAGGAGATTGCATGTACCTGCCTAACATCTGTGCAAATTAGAGGCAAATGACACATGTTTACGCGTATATAACTCAGTTATATATATTATTATTATATATATATTAACTGCCACCGGGTCATACCCAATTGCAGTTCTAATAAATGTATGTAATGTATATACAAATATGCAATATTTCACTATATGTTCATTAGCAAAAAGTGACCGTTTTCAACCTCTCTACATACTGCACAGAATGTTTTAACATTTATTCTGAGACACCCTGTAGCGCTAATCAACCCTAACTGGTAACTCCGTCACGTATTCCAAAGGTGCTTCACGCCTTCCTCGTCGCCTCCGGGAGGTCCCGCCGCCCGCCGAGCGTGCGAAGTCCGAAGTTCGTGGTAACGTGAGCTTCCAGAAGCTTCTTCTCGCGGCCTGTGTACACCCGGCGGAAGTGGTAGGGTGGCGAGGGGGAGGGGGAGGGGGAGGGCGACGGTGAAGGCCGCGTGCTAACGACACGGCCGCGTCCGCCTCTGCGGCGAGCGGCTAAAGATCGGCGCCCGCGCGCAGAGCCTTGGGGAACTCCCCGCGATGAGAGGACGCCGCTTCAGGGAACGCTCAGGGTGGATCACCGCCCGCAGTAGCTCAGCGATATTCCCGCAGCGTCCTTGACCAATAGGGATGCGATGCTGATGGTGTATCAAAGGGGGATCACCACATCAACTGATGTCACTGCCGTGCCGCTGTTTGGGAGGTCCTAGGGTGCGAGGCTCGACGGTAGCAGGATTTTCGACACTATCTTTCAGGCTGGGTCGAATTCAGTCAGTGTCTGGAAGAGAATTCTAGCAGCTGGCTGCTCTGATCGGTAGTTTTCCATCGTTTCTCCGATCAGCACCAGGCGAATGCCGAAGCAATACCCTAGTAAACAGGCCACGGAACGCGCTCGATCTTTCCTTTCTCTCCTTGTCATATCCTGACCCCTGCACTACTTGTACATTTACAGTAACATGTACTGCACTATCACACTTGTCTGGAGACCAGTCGGGATCTTAAGAGTCTGTCCCGACTGGGGCGAGATACATGGTTGGGGAAAATCCCCCCAACCGACGTAGGTTGGCGCCAGATCTCGCCTGTCAGTTTGTAAAGATCACCACCTCCCACTTCCTGCAATGAAATCATGCACTATACCTAGGGGACTGGTGGCCTTATCAGGAGACGAGCCGGGATTTACTATTCAATCATTCAACCAATGTTTTCAAAACATATTTTTCCATCAAATTATCGATGTTTTAAACTTCGATTGATTAAAGACAATATTTTTTAACATCCATGTTTCGTACTCATTGTTTTAAAGATTTCTATGTTTTGTTTGAGAATAAAAAAAGTTACGTAATCCGATTTTGTAAAAATTGACATACAAAATAACTGATTATACCTATGTTAGTTCTTGTGTCCTTGCTTGTACTACCTTCATCGAGCAGGCGTGCCTTCTTCGAGGAATGGCCCCGATACCCAGGTATTTCCTACACCTTCCCTTTACTTTGCACTCAGAGAGATGGTCAGTACACGTGTAGTGGTCTAAGAGACTTCCCCTTCATCCCGCATCCTTCTACGGCGAATAATTTTCAACTATTTGCTTTGAACATGTTACATTAGTAGTTCCTCTAGATCCTCCAGAGTTCGTGCTCTCTCCGCATTGTCCACTAGTCTCACAGCCCACTGTCATGAGGACTGGCCTCTGTTTCCGCAGTGAAACTGAGTGGCATGAGGTCATCAGTAAGGTCCTGATTCCAGTCCGTTACCATCACCTCATGAGAGTCTTCTTCGATTATACGCTTTTTTCCAATCCGCTTACTGTTGAAATTTGTGGCACTGAGGCGATATATTCTTCTCCAGAATGGTATTAATTTACAGGTCGTTGTGTTTCCTAAAACCGAGGTTCACAATAACCGAAAATTCTTAAGCTTATTTGTAATGTAAGTAAAAAGGCACCAGTGACTTACGTTCACTATAACCGTGGATTCACTATAACTGAGTTCACTATAACCGGAGTCGACTGTATACCAATCAATTTTCGGGAACCAAATTGCGAGTATCTCCTCTCCACCACCGCCCACATTAGCCATCTTTAGACCACCAGTAAGCCTTAATCCATACGTTTGTACAAAGAAACGTACGTATAATTGGTACGTTTGTGAAAAAAGCCATAAGCATCGATTTTACGTCCATAATTCGTGATCATATTATTTGAGGTGATTCCAATACTCTTTCTTCCTGAACACTGTAGTGCACCGAAATGGGTGAGGGCCTCCTCTATAAAATATCCACAATATTAATTTTCTTTAAATCCACACACACAATACTTGAGCGAAGCATAATCTCATTCAAGTCCCATTAACAGAAGCATTGAACAAGGCGGTACAAGTAAAGACGACGCATTCAACCCCCTAATCCTAATTCTAAATGCTGTTTATTGAAAAGCGTTGTCGGCAACACACTCTTCCAAGCTTTATCGCAGAAGATGGCAATCTTCACATCTAAACAACAACAATCGAAAGAGACTTTGTAAATCGTGTTTATTATTAACAATCATAAAGTGCTTATAAACAATAGTGATAAAAGCTATCTTTAGTATTTAATTTTATGAAATTAGGTATGTAATAAAACCTAAATGAATTGTTTAGCTTTATTGATTTAGATTCGTTTCTTGAGCCACCGAAGAGCGAAAACATCGTTATTCATGAAGACTTTTTTAATCTCTTATTGCATCAACTATCGCAAAGTCTCAAATAAAGTATCAAGAAATTAATATTTACTACATTAGCAAAACCTTTAGTCTACAAATAGGCCCTCTATTTCCTTGGCCGACCGCATTCCTGGCCTTGCGGGCACGAACGTTACGCTACTCTCCGTACTGTACAATACTGGGAGGAAAAGTAAATATATAGAGAGATATTTAATGATGGTATATATACACAAATTTTATTTGTTCGTATCTGTTCACATTGTACTTCATTTCCTCTTTCTTTGTTTACAGTGTCACGGACGCAATGTCTAAGATAAGGAATTTCACATCGGAAACTCCGGTTTGAAAACGCACACATACACTCTTTCACACACACACACACACACGCACACACACACACACAAGGATTCCATTCCATCCTGTCGGTCGTACGTTTACAATGTTTCTTTATTTATATTTTTTATATTTGAAATACGTAGTTTTCTAGGTGGTTTTAGCGGTTATTCTTCAATAAAACGATGCAAAAGTCATTATCATTTAATGTTGCGTAGTATCAATAAATTGAAACAATATGACAAAACATTGTTTAACGCGACGATCACTTGTGGTCACCAAATTCGTATTTGTCCTGGACAACCGTTAATAGTAAAATTGGTAGGGAGATTTGTGTCTTACACGTTGCGTGAATGTAGAACGGCTAAAAGTGGGGCCAGTCACGTGATTAAAATGACCGATTGGTTCACATAAAGCAGTTCCATTATTACATTCAAAGATAACATAGAATTATGCCACCATATAAAGTCATCTTTAATTCAATACCCCAAAATGTCTCTTATCCCTAACATTTTTAAGGTAAGGTATTCATCGAATACTACTTGATATAATTTAAATTTGCTATTAACATATTTTTGCAGGGAAGAACTTAACTTAGTGTTAACGGCACCATTTTGCTAGTATATAATGAATAATATTTAATTTTTAAAGCGTGTTTATTTCGTAACAAAAAGTTGAAGAATACCGAGGAAAGGGTTCACTGTTTATCCTTTCGACAGAAAGTTTCCAACTTTCACTTTCACTGCCTTTCGGATCCATGAGCCTCTTTAGCTCAGTGGCAGAGCACTGGTCTTGTAAACCAGGGGTCGTGAGTTCAATCCTCACAGGAGGCAACAAATTTTGAAAACGTTCGAAAGCTCATAATTTGAATGTAATTGATGGGAAGGGCTTTTAGAAATCCTCGAACACAAACATTTGGAAAATAAATGTAATTAAAGTACTTATTCAAAAAAAAATCTCACATCGTATTTAGATGAGAATAGCAGATTTAAATGTCAGTATTTTACAATTCTAGCAACGTGAATTGTTTATATGTAAACTTTTAATTAGCGGAATGACAAAACAAATACGGAGCCAAGGCACATATTAGTAAACGTTTGTGAAATGAATACGAAATACTCGCCAGTGCAGCCCAAAATAAGACTTGGACTGGTACAATTTAGGCCCCTTTTTTTCATAAATATATTCACCCATATATTTCTAGTAAATTAATAAAATATACAAAGAGAATAAAATTATAAGTTTAATGATACAAATAAAAATCACCTTTAATGAACGAAATTCATGTTTAATAATTTACTCTCCAGTCGAATGCCGGAGCAGTACCCTAACAAACGGGCCACTGACCACGCAAGATCTTTCCTTCCTCTTCCTTGGCCTATCCTTACTCTACACTACATGTACACTTCCAGCAACATATACTATACTATCACTTGTCTGGGGACCAGTCGGGATCTTAAGAGCCTGTCCCGACTGGGGAGGTGTCCCGCTGGTGGGAGATAGCTGGTTGGGGAAAATCCCCCCAACCGAGGCTCTTAGAGATCATCTCCGGATCTTCTTCTTTGGCACTGTCTTCCACATACGGAAGTTGTGACACATTGCGGGTTTTCTTGGGATGAATTACTCAAGGTGGTTTCCCGTTGCCTTCCTTGAGTTTTCGACCCAGGCGTCTTTAGAAGCCTACCCTCGAAACGGGACTGGGGACCTTATCGAGCAGATGCGCCTTGGGGGCAGTCCCCTATTGCGCATGGGACTCTCGCTTTCTCCGGCAGATGTCGGTCTCAGTATATCCGAACTGTCTGGGGGGAAGTGAGATCTCGTTAGGGCGAATGTTGTCGGAGGGATGTAATTTTGCTGGGCATACCAGGGATATTTTATTTGTCATAAGTGTGTATGGATTGTCCGCAATTCGAAAATTGGGGTACCTTTTCTGGATCGAACCCGCCCACTGGGGGTTCAGAGGCCACTGAGATAACCGCGCACCAACTCACACCCTTCTTCTTCGCGTACAACAATTTCCGAAATCCTCAGGAGGTATATGAAGAATTGAAAGTATTTAAGTGAAGGACATTTTATTACGGATAGATACAAAAATTGAGTTGTAGCTTTCCTTTAAAATTGTTTCAGTTTCTGTAGCTGTGTGAGGAAGAGAGGCTCAAAGGCGGAGTTCGCTAGTTCCGGTGAAGACAATACGTCGTGACCGCCTCATTTCGCTTACCATACAAGCGTGGGAATTAAACTTGACCCAGGCATGGGAGATACCGTTAAAGACGAGCAATTTACCCAAATTCATACATACAAGTTTTATTACTTAAGGCTACACAACCCCTTTCAAAATGTTTAATTGGAAAAGATATGAATATATTTGTTTTAAAAGAAAAATTGCACAGAAAAAATACCTAGTGGTGCTAAAACAGCACGCACTTTCACGTCCGCATTTTCATTCAAAATTACGCGAAAAGTATTCAAATGTTCAAAACATTGTACATTACCTTATTTCTATCTATGGGGAACATATTTCATCAACGGAAAAAATCTCTATCTTCATAATTGAATGGGTGAAACCCAAAACGGTATAAATGATATTTTATAAATACTGAGAAATCTGTTTATTTAAGTCAACATTACTGTAACGTCATGGTGTTTGTTTCATCATTAACACCACGGCATAGCAATTGTTCATTAAAACCACGTAAAATTCATTTTCACTTAAATATAGCCAAAAATAAAAATGATTTTCTCATAATTTTTAAAATGTCACATCATACTGGTTTTCGTCAATTCAATTGTAGTTGTAGGAAGACTAAGAAAAAATGTTGAAATTTTCCATTATCGAAAAATCAAGATTTCTAACAAACATACGTCCTGCACCATTCTCTTAAACGTTCTTTACACTATCCAAAAACAAAATTTAATCAAAAACAATGGAGCCTTTTTTTTAATTTTGAAAGTATCCAAAATCTGTGTGTTAAGTATTCCCCAAAGTTAAAATCATAGTTTTAAATTCAGAGGCCCGACACATCAGCTAGATCGATTTGAGAATATCAATTTTAGAGAAAATCGGTTGAACGGTTTAGCCGCTAGCGTTCTTAGACGGGCAGACATATGTTTTGTCATCATGCGATTTTTCGGTAGCAAGTACCAACAAAACATGAATTTTGGCTACACTACGTGTTAGGGGATTCTTGTTTCTAAATTTAGCAACAGGATTTATCCACTTTTTCGTTAGCAGGACCCTGTAATAAGAAATTTTCTGCCACAAATTTGCCGTTTTTCCGTGCAGCATTACATAACGTTCTCTCTACATACTTCTAGCGAGAAAGTAAAAAGCAGCCAATTTAAACTGTTCGACAACTTTCTTATTTCGATATTATTTTTTCTTTGTGAACAAATATATCCACTTCGTTTGTAAATAATAATATATACCTTTAGAGTTTTTTTATATTTCTGCAATGCTTTCTGCATAGAAAGTACTTTTTGAAACCAACTTTTGAGTGCTTGTTATGGCTCAACCATTCAAAATATTGAAGGAGTTCATTAGACAACATATGCTTAAAATTAACTTCAGAGTTTATTTTCGTTTCCTCGTTTCCTCCCTGGACACCTACGTATACAAAATATCGTGTAAGGATTTTAGATTGCTATGTATGTATGTACACGCACAAACACACACACACACGCGCACACACACACACACACACACACACACACACACACACACACATATATATATATAGTGTAGTGAGTAATATTTTAAATATATATATATATATATTTATATTATATTATATAATGTACAGTATTGTATACACGAAGAAATCGTATAAGGTTAGTTGTAGCTTAGTACCGGAATAACTCTTCTGTCCAGTCACAACAGTTGGCACCCGTAGACGGCGAGTGCGGTGACGAAAGAGCCGCGGACGTCCGCACGATCCTGGCGCCCGGGCGCGCGTGACACTGCGTGACTGTCGCGCTACGGCGCAGCCTCCCTCTGTTTGCGCAGCGGAGCGCGACCCTCCTCCCCCCCCCCACTCGCGCCCAAATTTGCGCCAAATCTCCGGGCAGGGACCACATGCCGGTATCACGTCCGTCACCACTTCTAGTTACTACGTCGGTGAAGTTCATGTTGTCGGGCAGGACAAAACGGAGAGAAGATGAGCACAGGTTGTTTACTTAAATGGTTGATTATGAATGAGCCAGGCTCATTGGCTCAGGGCTCATTGGCCGACTTCAGCCAATGAGCTTTCAGCACCTGCTTGCCTCACAATATTAGCCGGATTTATTAATGCAGTCAGATACCAAAATTATCATTCGTTCACAAGATATTGAAAACTTTTGTAAAAGCATTTCTTTCCAATATTGCATATATTGTACTCCTTCATCGTGTTATTCTTGTTGGTTACCGCTGCAAAAATTGTCACTTGTACCACTTTCAAATGGTTTCTAGACACTACCTCGCTCTCCATGCAACCATAGCAGAGCTCTTGTGGCGTTTCAAACGACAGTACCCCAGTGTTGTGGTCACCGTCGGATATCGACGCAAACTGGTGTTGCGCACAAAAACCGAGCAGAAATTGCGTGCGCAGGAAGGAACTCGGGCAGTTATTTCCACATGTTATGACGGCTGTTCAAGTGCAACGCTTACATCCTAACAGAGTCCTACGCCCGCCACCACCAGTGGTGACGCCACGAGAGGAGGCACGGGGAGTGTGGCAGCGGTGGCGAAAGGCGAAATGACTGGCCCAGTCGCTCAGGTGGCAAACATGTGCAAGTGTAAAAAGTGTTGCGAGAGCGAAAGTATAGTGTAGTATTAAATGAGTAATGAATTTAAATGCGAGCGTTTCAGTGTGAAATAGAGTGAATAAGTGCGAACATTGGAGTTAATAAAGGAAACACAAAATAGAAAAAAGCTGAAACTAAAACGCGTCATTTTTAGGTTAAACATTTTTCTAGACCTAAGAACCGGCGAAACCGGCCATTCTGTAAAACCTCCGTCTTTTAGAACACTCAAATACAGCATTGAACCATCGGACGATTGCACGAGCAGACCACATGTCTCTTTAGTACGTGGCAGTAGCCCTGGTCTTGTAACAAGAGGATGTCGTGTCAATCCTAAGGGAGGAATACGACTTTTCGGAAAAGCTTCCAATACAGAGAAAAAACGCAGACAGATTGCATCAGCAGACCCCCGCATCTTACTCAGTGGCAGAGCACTGGTCTGTAAACCAGGTCGTGAGTTCAATCCCCACATCACGGTAACCTTTTCTAGACAGCTCAATACAGCAAAAACGACGGACAGATTGGCAGCGAGCGACACCCGCCTCTTTAGCTCAGTGCAGAGCACGGTCTTGTAAATCCCGGGGTCGTGAGTTCAACCTCACAGAGGCACACGTTCTGTTTTTAAAACAGCTCAAAATACAAGCAAATAACGACGGACAGATTGGCAGCGAGCGACACCGCCTCCTAGCTCAGTGCAGAGCACTGGTCTCGTAAAACCAGGGATCGTGTTTCAATCACCACAGGAGGCACCCCTTTTGAACAGAACAATACAGCAATAAACGACGGACAGATTGCGCAAGCCGGCCCACCGCGCTCCTTAGCTCAGTGGCAGAGGCACTGTCTCGTAAACCAGGGTCGTGAGTTCAAATCCTCACAAGAGGCAAAACCCTCTTTTTAGAACAGCTCAAAACTACAGCAATAAAAACGGACAGATTGCAGCGAGCCGGCCCACCGCAGCTCTTTAGCTCAGTGGCAGAGCACTGGTCTGTTAGAACCAGGGTCGTGAGATTCAACCCTAACAGAGCCACGTTCTTTTTTAGAAAGCTCCAAATACAACCAATAATGACGACAATTGCAAGCGAGCCCGGGCACCCGCCTCGCTTAGCCTAAGTGGCAGAGCCACTGCTTCGTAAACCAGGCGGTCGTGAGTACCAATCGTCACAGAACACCTGCCCTTTGGAAGAGCACAAATACAGCAATAACGAACGACGATTGCAGCGAGCCAACCACCGCCTCTTTAGCTCAGTGGCAGAGCACGTGGTGTTGTAAACCAGGGGTCGTGAAGTTCACCCTCACACGAGGCACACGTTTCTTTTTTAGAACAGCTCAAATACAGCAATAAACGACGGACAGATTGCGCGAGCGACTCCGCGCCTCCTTAGCTCAGTGGCAGAGCACTGGTTCTGTAAACCAGGGTCGTGAGTTCAATCCTCACAGGAGCACACCCTCCTTTTGGAAACAGCACAATACAGCAATAAACGACGACAGATTGCAGCGAGCTGACCACCCGCTCTTTACTCAGTGGCAGAGCACTGTTCTTGTAACCAGGGGTCGTGAGTTCAACCTCACAAGAGCAAACCCTCTTTTTTAGAACAGCTCAATACACAATAAACAACGGACAGATTGCATCGAGCCGCCACCCGCCTCTTTAGCTCAGTGCAGAGCACTGGTTCTTGTAAACCAGGGTCGTGAGTTCAACCCTCAACAAGAGGCAAAACCCTCTTTTTATAGAACAGCTCAAATACAGCAATAAACAACGGACAGATTGCATCGAGCCGGCCACCCGCCTCTTTAGCTCAGTGGTAGAGCACTGGTCTTGTAAACCAGGGTCGTGAGGTCAACCCTCACATGAGGCACCACGTTCTTTTACCGAAAAGCTCAAATACAACAATAAACGACGACAGATTGCACCAGCAGACCACATGTCTCTTAGCTACGTGCATAGCACTGTCTTGTATACCAGGAATCGTGCGTTCAATCCTAGAGGAGACATACCGCATTTTAGAAAAGCTGCAATACAGAAATAAACGACAGACAGATTGCATTCAGCAGACCCCCGCATCTTTAGCTCAGTGGCAGAGCACTGGTCTTGTAAACCAGGGTCGTGAGTTCAACCCTCACAGGAGCACACGTTCTTTTTTAAAACAGCTTCAAATACAGCAGATAACGACGACAGGTTTGCAGCGAGCCGACCACCCGCCTCCTTAGCTCAGTGGCAGAGAGTACTGTCTCGTAAACCAGGGGTCTGAGTTCAATCTCACAGGGAGCAACCCTCTTTTTTAGAGTCAGCTCAAATCAGCAATAAACACGGACAGATTGCAGCGACCGGCCACCCGCCTCTTTAGCTCAGCAGAGCACTGGTCTTGTAAACCCAGGTCGTGAGTTCAACCCTAACAGGAGCACACGTTCTTTTTTAGAACAGCTCAAATACACCATAAATGACGGACAGATTGCAGCGAGCCGGCACCCGCCTCCTTAGCTCAGTGCAGAGCACTGCGTCTGTAAACCAGGGGTCGTGAGTACAATCGTCACAGGGACACCCTCCTTTTGGAAAGGCACAAATACAGCAATAAACGACGGACAGATTTCAGCGAGCCACCACCCGCGCCTCTTTAGCTCAGTGCAGAGCACTGGTGTTGTAAACCAGGGGTCGTGAGTTCAAACCTCACAGGAGGCCACACGTTCTTTTTGAGACAGCTCAATACAGCAATAAAACAACGGACAGATTGCAGCCGAGCAACCACATGTCTCTTTAGCTTACGTGGCATAGCACTGTCTTGTATACCAGGAGTCGTGCGTTCAATCCTAGAGGAGAATACCCGCCTTTTAGAAAAGCTGCAATTACAGCAATAAACGACGGACCAATTGCAGCAGCCGACCTCCCGCCTCCTAGCTCGTGGCAGACACTGGTTTCGTAAACCAGGGTCGTGAGTTCAATCCTCACAGGAGGCACACCTCCTTTGAGAACAGCACAAATACAGCAATAAACGACGACAGATTGCAGGAGCTGACCACCCGCCTCTTAGCTCAGTGGCAGAGCACTGTCTTGTATAACCAGGAAGGTCTGGTCTCAAATCCTCACAAGAGGAGACAACCCGCATTTTTTAGAACAGCTCAATACAGAATAAACGACAGGACAGATTGCATGCGAGCAACCCCCCGTCATCTTTAGCATCAGTGAGCAGAGCACTGGTCTGTAAACCAGGTGTCGTGAGTTTCAATCCTCACAGGGACCACAACCCGTTCTTTTTTAGAAACAGCAATAACAGCAATAAACACGGACAGTTGACAGCGAGCCGACACCACCCGCCTCTTAGCTCAGTGGCCAGAGCACTGGCATTGTAAAACAGGTTCGTGCAGTTCAATCCTCACAAGGAGGCAAACCTCTTTTATACGAATCAGCCTCCAAATACACCAATAAAGACAACGAAGATTGCTCAGCCAGAGCCGGCCACCCGCCTCTTTAGCTCCATGGCAGTAGCATGGTCTTGCTAAACCAGAGGATCGTGAGTTCAACCCTAACAGGAGGCAACTTCTGTTTTAGAACAGCTCAAATTACACAATAAAGACGGAACAGATTGCACGAGCCGGCCACCCGCTCCTTAGCTCAGTGGCCAGAGCACGGTCTTCATGTAAACACAGGGTCGTGAGTACAATCGCTCACAGTGACAGCCACACGTTCCTTTTGGGAAAGCCAGCTAAATACACAAATTAACACACGGACAGATTGCACTGCAGCCACACTGCTCCTTTAGCTACGTGGCAGTAGCAACTGGCTTGTAAACCAGGAGTCGTGAGTTCAACCTAAGGAGGAGGAATACCACGTCTCTTTTAGAAAAGCTCACAATTACAGGAATAAACAAACGGACAGATTGCAGGCAGTCAGAACTCCGCTCTTTAGCTACGTGAGCATAGCACTGGCTCTGTGTAACCCAGGTCGTGGTTCCAATCCTTAAAGGGGATCCACACGCTCTTTTTAGAAAAAGGCTCCAATTACAAGCAATAAACGACGGACAGATTTGCAGCGAGCGACCTCCCGCCCCTTAGCTTCATGGCAGACACTGGTCTCGTAAACCAGGGGTCGTGAGTCTCAATCCTCACAGGAGCACACCCCTTCTTTTGTTGAACAGCTCAATACAGCAATAAACGCAACGGACAGTTTCCAGCGAGCGCACCCGCCTCTTAGTTCGGTGGCAGAGCACTGGTCATGTAAACCATGTTCGTGAGTTCAATCCTCACTTAAAAGCACATCTTCTTTTAAGAACAAGCTCAAATACACCAATAAACGACGAACAGATTCACGCAAGCCGACCACCCGCCTCTTTAGCTCAGCAGAGCACTGTCTTGTAACCAGGTCGTGAGTTCAACCCTCACACGAGGCACACGTTCTTTTTATAAAACAGCTCAAATTACAGACAATAAACGACCGGACAGATTCGCACCAGCAGACCACACGTTCTTTGCTACGTGGCATAACACTGGTTTGTATACAGGAGTCCGTGCGTTCATCCTAGAGGGGAATACCCGCCTTTTAGGAAAAAGCTCCAGATACAGGAATAAACGACAGACAGATTGCATCAGCAGACCCCCCCCCCCCCCCGCATCTGTAGCTCAGTGGCAGAGCACTGGTCTCGTAAACCAGGAGTCGTGAGTTCAATCCTCACAGGGGGCATACCCTCCGTTTAGAAAAGCTCAAATACAGCAATAATCGTCTGACGTATTGCAACGAGAGCACCGCCCGCCTCTTTAGCTCAGTGGAAGAGCACCGGTCTTAATACCAGTGGTCGTGAGTTCAATCCTCACATGAGGCATAACCTCCTTTTAGAAAAGCTCAAATACAGCAATAAACGTCGGACATATTGCAACCACAGCACGCCCCGCCTCTTTAGCTCAGTGGCAGAGCACTGGTCTTGTAAACCAGGGGTCGTGAGTTCAATCCTCACAGGAGGCATACCCTCCTTTTAGAAAAGCTCAAATTAAGCAATAAACGTCGGACATATTGCAACAACAGCACCCCCCGCCTCTTTAGCTCAGTGGCAGAGCACTGGTCATGTAAACCAGTGGTCCTGAGTTCAATCCTCACATGAGGCATACCCTCCTTTTAGAGCAGCTCAAAAATCGCAATAAACGACGGACAGATTGCAACGAAGGGACCTCCTGTCTCTTTAGCTCTGTGGCAGAGCACCGGTCTTGTAAATCAGGGGTCGTGAGTTCAATCCCTACAGCAGGCACACCCTACTTATAGTAAAACTCAAATACATCACTAAACGACGGACAGATAGCGACAAGAGTTCATCCTGCCTCTTTAGCTCTGTGGCTGAGCACCGGTCTATTAATCCAAGGGTTGTGTGTTCAATCCTCACAGGAGGCATACACGCCTTTTAGAACAGCTCAAATACAGCAATAAACGACGCACAGATTGCAACGAGCTGGCGCACAGTGGCAGTTTTAGCTCAGTTGCTGAGGAACTGGTCTTGTTAACCAGGGGTCGTGAGTTCAATCCCTAACGGAGGCATACCCTTACTTTTAGAACAGCTAAAGCAGCTCTTATACAACACTAAACGACGGTCAGATTGCACCGGGTAGACCACCCTCCCCCTTTAGCTCAGTGGGCGAACTCTGGTCTTGTAAACCCGGGGTCATGAGTCTATGTTTCACGGGAGGAATGCCTTCACTTTTGGAACAGCTCTAATACAGCACTAAACGAGGCACAGATTGTACAAAAATACAGTACAAAATTAGAGATATTGCAAGGAGCTTTCTATCTGCCTCTTTAGCTCAGTGGCAGAGCACTGGTCTTGTGAACTACTAGCTGGGAGTGACGTTTTAAAATTAAAAAAACCTAGCAGATGCAGAATAACTTGCTTTGGCTAGCCATTTTTTTAAAATTTAAATAAGGGTAAATTATTGAAGGCTCTTTTATAAAACTTTATCGAGAATATTTGGTTATTTCAGAGTGTAAATTATATAGTGGAAGTACTTGCTTCTTTATTTATTACTTATTAATTTTTGTAGGAATCAGATGGTATTATTTATAATAGACCTCACCCCGCTCTGGGGAGTAATTCATAAAAACACCTGCGAAATGTATAGCAACCGGAAGTTCTTGTTCTTTGCCTGTGAGGTTTGCTGTGTGGAATGCGATTTTCATCATTGTTTCTATTTGGTGGTCGAAATAAGGCCACTTCAGTGGAGCATCACTCACAACAGTAACATCTCCTAACTTCAATTAAGACCCACACACAAACACAAACTACTTAACGATAATTATTTACTTTCAATTTAAACAATCTTTACTAATCCTTGAAAGAACTATGCCAACGTCAAACACATATATTAGATTTTGCTAAAATATGAAAATGAAATATCTCGAGGGACGAAATGTTTCGTAAACATTGTTTATAGGTAAACTATTCAAACTTTTATTTAACTATTTACAAATATTTTTTTTAAAAATGCATCGTTCACGTTTGAACGTAGCTATTGTAAATCTGTTAATGAAATAAATGGTGGCGTGTTTGAATAGGGTCTGACACAACCATACCGCCCTAAAAGCTTAAAAATTACTTTTTTGTTTATTTTTGTTACATTTCTAAATGACAGTTCGAATAAGGACAATTTCAACATTGAGAATGCAATGTCCACGTTGATAATTTATATACACATATTATATAAATCGGAGAACAGTAGGAAACTCAACTGTTACATGCTTTCTGTAGGAATTTTCAGTGGTATTCACAGGAGGTTTTTTCTCGGCTCTGCTGCTTTACCTTTGTTATGCCAGTGTTTCCTTCGTCTGCCTCTTTTCCTTCTTTGGTCCGGTCTCCAGTGAATTATCTTCTTTGGCCGTCTTCCTGACATCACGCGCGTTACATGACCAAAGTGCCAAATTGTGCGATCCTATGTCGTGGAGAGGCATGTTCACTACTCCTGCATGGGATTTTACACCATCTCTTTTTACGCCTTAAAAATATATTTTTTTATTTATTTGGTTTACATTTCTAAATGTAATTAATGTTGGAATACGTTCAATTTCGATATTGAGAATACATTGTCCAATATGATTATTTATACACACATTATGTAAAATGGAGAACTGTAGGGGAACTATTACATGTGTTACATTCTTACGCTATTCTTAATTCATTTGTAATGATTTTGTGAAAATTTCGATGGTCTACCCTAATTATGGTTTTACTCTAGTATGTAATTGATACTTATGTCAATATTTTAAATAGTCTTCCCATCCATCTATCCCCATTTCTTATTACTCTCCTGCTTGCAAATATACAATTAAAAACCATCTTACTTGAAATAGTTGATGCTAAATAACTCAACAAATAGTGGAACGTTTTTTTTTAGTACCCAGTAACACCAATTTCTACGTCGAGTTCACAAAAATAGACGATTTTCCACGTCCGGACCGCTCTATGTTTTTTTAAATAAGTTATAACAATTATTAAATATTGCAGGGTTGATAAGGAAAGGGAAAGTTAGAATTGCAGCCAGAAACAGAGAAGCGGATTGATTGATTATTTAGTTCTTTTCTGGCCGCGTCAACCAAGGCCTTTACACCCGTAAGTGTAGTACAGGTTTTTATCGCAGGAGATGGCTGTGTTCCTAAACCACTGCAACGTCACGTCCGACGCAAAAACTACAGATCGACATGGGTTGTCCCACAGCCCGAACGAGCAATAAGCTCGCGACAGGCCTCCCTACGAGAGGCAGTGCAGAGCATGTAAGTGTGTGAGGGGAGAGGCGGTGGTAAGAATGGGGAAGGACGCGTGCGGTGCGTGGCTCGTTTGTTAGGGTACTGTTCCTGCATTCGCCTGGTAGTGATCGCAAAAACCAAAGCAAAACCAACGGATTAGAGTAGGCGGCCGCTAAGTGACGAGCAAAACATTCAGAAGGTGGCATGCGCATTTGGCAAACATTGAGTTCATCAATTACTTTTATCAAGATGTTTAATTCCGGGAAAACAGTGAGATGTTTTGACAACATTAAGTAATAATACATTGGTTGAGTTAAAGACAGTGTAGTTTTTTGGGGGTGGGGGGAGAGAAGTGGACGTGTCGCTTTGTGAATGTTTCCACCTCTTATTATCCTCCAGACAGCGGCTGAATTCGATCTACCTATTTAACCAAGAGTCTAAAATCCGGCACCGTGGGCTCCACGAATCCTCGAAAGGCATCTCCGCCAGCGACGCTGCAACAGCAGTGTCAATTCTTCAACGATCCATCCCCGCTGGCAGGAGACAAAAGGGGGCGAGGGGAAAGGAGAGGGGAGATGCGGCGTGCCGCGAAAGGCCCCCGGCAAGTCGGCAACCGCCGCACCGCCGCCGCTTCTTCAGAAGGGCTTCCAATGGCCACTCCTGGACACCCTCCCCCCGGCCGGCCGCGTGTCTGGCGGCTTAAAATACGCCCCAACCGCCGCTGGTCTGCGGGACACTATGTACTTACTGCGCAATGCGCAAAATGTGTTCCCCCTCGTTCCCCAATCCGACCACCAGTTTAACCAGGTTAGACAGGTCATTTATTGTGTTGAATGGGGCCTCAGCTTTCGTAACACGGGTACGGCAATCGGCTTCGCCGAGTGCGCCATCCCTCACTTATTCGGCGATTCGCTCTTGAGCAGCCTAGACCAACAGCGGGGAAGGCACCCAAGGCATTCCCAGCAGGCTCTGCCGCCAATCCCCAAGTATGTGTTTCGGCGAATGTTCGCTCCCTTTGCATGAGTCCTAAAGATCACACGCGGTGGGTAAGGAGACGGCTCCAACATTCGGCATTCGCGAGCAGCGACCTACTGCTCGCCCAATCCCGATCAGCTGAAGTGTTCGGCGAATGTTCGCTCCCTTTGATGAGTCCTAAAGACCGACACGCGGTGGGTAGGGCAAGTACCCAATCTTTAGCATATAATAATAGCAAATAGCAAGTAACGCATCCATACTACTCGGGATTCGGCGAGCGGTTGCTCGCTACTCGGCAAATACCGAATGTCTGGAGCCGCCTGCGGTGCAGAAGGGTTACAACTAGGTTACAACTAGGGAGCGATTTCTAAGATGTATTTGTGTCCGTTTGAGATGGGCGTAGCTGAGTGAAATTTATTTATATTTAGTTAGAATTTGATATTACTGCAGATAAATATGTTGGTACATATTTATGCCATTGGTTTCTTGCCGATTTTGCCAGTTTGTGCATATTCGTGTAATTTTAGGAGCTTATTTTGCATATTTCGTTAAAATAGAGACATCTATCTATTTTTTCATAGATTCTATTTATTTGAGAGCGAGCATTTATTGATTAGAAAGAGCTTGTCACAGTTTAAAGTGATTTTTGCCCATAGAGATGATAAAATACTTGTGCAAATGTAGGATTATTTCTTCATATCATATTTTTTAAACCAGGCGGAATAAATGCAACAAAACCTACAATAGTACTTCACTAAGGTGAATATTTACTTCAGTAATTTCTCCCGCGAAGTAAGGTAGATTATATTTGATTTGCACAAAATATATTTACATTTCAAGCATGCTTCTCCTGAATTTTATTAAGAAAGCTTTATACAGGAAATAAACTTTTGCTAATTTTTATTGCATATTAAAGTGAATATTTCAGAAGTTAGTCAGCATAAAAATCCTTTCCCAACTTATAACCGATGACGGGTAAAACTGGTCAACTTTACAACTTACAACCAGTGGTGCAAGCCTTGCCATGAAACATACATATTTAAAGTTATATACCATATAACACACTATACATATTAAGTCACATAACACACACACATGTATACTCTCTTGTCGTGAGTTTTGGTTGTAAGGTAGCGGCTTAAAGACGGACGGGTAAAACCGGTTGAAGATTCGGTTAACCACGAGTCGCACAAACAGCTCGAATCACCGAGGTGTACGGCTGTCGGTGTCCGTACGAGGCTCTGCGAACGTGCTGGCAGGCACGGCCCCATCGCAACGCGTCGTGAGGAGCCGCGCAAAGCCGCCTGCAGAGAGCGGCGTTCATTTGTTACGCAACGCGCTGCGGCGCGGCGTAGCGGCGAGTCATCGAACGCAAAACAAACACGCAGAGTTACGACAGAAATGTCAAGGGAAAGAGAGGACGCCCGGGGACAGGCAGTTTGGGCTTCCCTTGGGCCGTATGTACCGAAGCTTTCTCCTTCTTCTTCTTCTTTCCCTTCCTGTAATTCACTGCTTTCCGTTTGACAAATAAAAATTAGAATAAAGCTAATGTTAAGTACTATGCCTCCTAAGAACACTTGCTCCTGAAGACTACGAAACGGATTAACATTTTTAGAAGCAAGTATCCTAAGGTAGCAGAATACTTTGCATCGCTTTATTGTAATGTAAAAATATATAAAAAGTTATCACAAAGTTTTCTGGTGTCTTCAGCTTCCTTTGTGCCTTATTTTTGTCTTATTCCCTTTCCTGGTCTCCAAACGCATTCCCTTCGTGCTCAGCTTCCCATCTCGTCTTTCCTGTCCGCTTCTTCTGTTCTTCTTTTGCTAGTTTATTTTCTCCATTCTGTGCTTTTTCATTGTTTTCACCTTCTCTTTCCCCCTTTTCTTTTTCTTCTCCATCTATTCTGCTATTTCTCCCATTCGTTCTCTCGGTCTGACTTTGCGTTTTTTCTTCTTTTTCTTTCGCATATTGCTCTTCTTGGTCATCTTTACCTTCTTGTTTTCCCTCTTTTGGTTTCTATCTTTGTTTTTCATCTACTTCTTTCCTTCCGCCCACCTTTTCGTTCTTCTCCTTCCATTCTCTTCTTTAAATGTTTTTTACGAGAATTGCAAATACATGCTTCTACCAAAATTCAAAACTACTGAATTCAAATGTTTCTACACTTTTTCAATTTGATTTGTCTTCATAAAAAAACTTTAAAAACTGTAGTATGTGGCATATGTAGAAATATAATCTGCGTCTCAATAATGTCCCAACAAAGGTTAGTAAATTCGAAAAATATAAATGTTTGTTACCTTTCTGTAGACCCTAGTTCAATAAACAAACGTTATTGGAGTAAACAAATAGAGTTATTTCTGGAAACGAAAGTTATTTTAGAAATTTAAATTCACTACAATGACTATTTTTTTTATTTTACCTGATGGCCTTTATATGCTGTTTACTGTTTTTAGACAGGTATAACGGGAGTGCCAAATACAACTAGGATTCCTGCCATACATAAAATAATATATCCGATAATGAAGCTTATTCAAGTTTCAATTATGTCATTAATCAGACAGGCATACAGTTAGCATTCACGTTTAGAAGTCAAACCCTTTCAACGTCGACCGCGAAAATTCAACTGTTGTATATTACACAAAATACCAATATGGGTTCGTTAGAAATTATACTAACGCACGTCTCATACGTGCACTGAATAACCAACTTACTCGCATACAATGCACTCTTTAAACAACTTGGGAGATAAATATCATTATTATACTAACAATCAAATGTTTGCTATTATTTGCCAAGAACGACGAAAGATATAACAATTCGCATAACTGTTACGGCTAAACTAATATCCAAGCAGTTCAAGAACTCCTACTGCCAAAAGTGATTCAAAACCATCGACTGCCACAAACCGTTCTGTGCGAAATGCTAGCCGTTGAGTAGCTGTGTTGAGCATCTTGGCCTCGCGGTCTCCATCGGAGCGCTAGGAATGGCATCTAGGTCGCCTTGTTAACCCTCAACGTCTCCTCGCAGTTCAGGAGGCGGGAATCATAAATTGAGACTAGACGACAGTAGCAATCAGGGCTGTCGAGCTGGTGATGGATAGGCGGGGACAGTGCAGAGTGAGCACTTAACTCGTTTTCACGAAGATCGCTGAGAAGACTTCTGCTCTTCGTTTTCAGAGAAGAAGTGAAGTTGTGAAAACTCTCTCTGAAGACTATTAAACGTCGAGAATTCACTTGAATACTTGTTATTCCCTAAACTGTGACATGTATTGCGATAGAAGTCCTG